AGAATGTTAAGAGAATGAAAAGACAAGCCACAGACTGAGTGAAAATATTTGCAAAACACATGTTTGATAAAGGGCTTGTATCCAAAATCTACAAAGAACTAAAATTCACAAAAAGAAAACAAATAATATAATGTAACAGGGGGCAATTGAGCTGAACAGATACTTCACTAAACCTTCTATACAGGTGGCAAATAAGCATACGAAAAATGCTCAATGTCACATACCATTGAGAGACTACAAATTAAAACAATAAGGTGATCCTCATGTGCATCTGTTAGAATGGCCAAAAGCCAAACACTGACAACACCAAATATTGACAAAGAGACGGAGCAACAGGAACTTCTAGTCATTGCTGGAAACGCAAAATGGTTCAGCCACTTTGGAAGACAGGTTGGCAGTTTCTTACAAAACCAAACTAACACAGCATTATATAACCCAGCACTTAATCTGTTAGGTATTCACTCCAGTGAATTATATACTTAGGTTTACATCTACTTATAAATCCTGATAGCAGCTTTTTTCATAATTGCCCAAATCTGGCAACGACTAAGATGCCCTTCAATGCTGCATGGATAAACAAACTGTGGTACATCCATACAGGGACATATTAATCATTATCAAGCACAACTGATCCATCAAACTATGAAAAGACACGGGGATTAAATACACATTACTAAGGGAAAGAAGCCAGTCTAACAAGGCTGCATACTGCATGATTCCAATTATGTGACATTCTGGCAAAGGAAAAACTGTGGGTTGGTGGCTGCCTGAGGAAAAGCCCAGTGACACTGAAGACAGTGAAAGTGTCCTGGTTTACACTAGCAAGGAACACACATGATAGTATGCACTTGGTAAAGCCCACAAGGCTGTACAATATAAACAGCAAACCCTACTGTAAACTATAGATTTACGTGAAGAGTAGAGTGTCAGTATTAGGTCAGTATTTTAACAAGTGTTCCACACAATGAAAAATTTTCAGAAGAGAGAAAACTGCACGTGGGTGGTGTGGGAAGAATATGGAAACTTAGCATTTTTGTGATTTTTTTCTATAAACCTAAAAACTATATTGCTTTGTGAAATAATCTATACTTATACAACATTTTAGAATGAGGTGAGCCCTACTTTTGAACAGTAGACAAAACCTCCCTGTACAATTTGAAGAGTAGCCTTTCCAGAACCCTACAGGCCCTGTACATCTTTGCCAATGATTTTCTCCCACCCCACCCACCAAGAAGTAACCATAATCTTGAATTCTTTATTACCAATTCCTTTTTATTCTTTATAAAAACTATTCTACTACCCTTGTATATATCCTTAGACAGTACTTGGCATTCCCCAGTCTTTAAACTTCAAGTATGCAAAAGAAATACTTTGCATATCATCTGCAATTTGCTGTTTTTGCTCACCCTGTAGCTGAGATCCAGCCAAGTTGATGCACTTGGCTGTGGATCACCTCTGTCCACAGCTGTACAGTGTCCCTTTGCTGAAAGTGCCTTCTTGCATGGATGCATTCTGCTGCAGAGGCACACTGGGGACACTCCCAGTTTGGAACTGTTTTGGACAGTGCTGCTGTGAACACTCGTGCTAGGGTCTCCCCGCATACATGTGAGGTGTTCTCAGGGGATTTCTGGGCAGTGAGACATGTACTCATCAAACTATTTTCCAAGAGACTGTGCCAGTGCACTACTTTCTCAACCATGACCATTATCCTGAGGCCTCCCAGTGCTTGGTCACCAAGATAAGTCACTTGTTCTCCAAATGTTCCTTCCCAGCCTGAAAACCATGCCCACCACCTTTTCCTGGGCACATCACCTCAGCTCTCAGGTGAGAAGCCTTCTCTGGCCTAAGGAGGCCAGGTTGGGGGCTCCTTTTGGGCTCCCCAGCATCCTGAGCTCTCCCCAGCATATGTCTTGTGTGAGGTGTGATTTAGCCATGAATGCGTCCATCTCCCCTATTGCTCTGAAAGTCCCTGAGGTCAGGGCCACATGTCAAACACTGTGGCTGCTCTGGAGTCTTGCACAGACCCGAAGCATAGAGGGTTCACACTGTATGTTAGCTACCTTGGCTCCATGGGGCCAGAGTGGAGTCTGTCTGGGGCTCACAGGGAAGCTTGGGCTGGACTAGGGTGTTCATGAGGAGCCATAGCTGGAGGCTTGATAGAAACCCAGAGGCCATGGGGTCAGACTTAAGAGCCATAGTCTAACATCGACCTGCTCTGAGGGGTGCCGTGTGCAGCCCTGAAAGGGAGAGGAGGTGGAGAAAGCAGAACTCAGGTCCTTTCTCCCTTCCTCAGGCAGCATGGTTGAAAGTAGACTGCTTTAGTTTCAATTCAACCCGTACCTCTCACTGGCTGTGTGGCCTTAAGCAAGTCACTGAACTAACTTTCCTGAGCCTCAGTTTCTTCATGTATAAAATGAAGAAAACAGCATCTTCTGCCTCACAGTGTTGTAAATGCAATGAGCTAGTACTTGTAAAACATGTAACAGTTCCTGGCATATGCCAAGGGCTGTATCAATATTCATTACATAGACATGAATGAGGGTGCAGAGCTGGGCTGCCTTTTCTGAGTCCAGGGCATTTTCATTCCTGTGTTCACCCAGGAGGAGAATCCTTCCTATGGAGTCTTTCTGTTATTCTTGAGCTCTTTATCCTTTTACTGTGATTCAGACTCTATATGATCCAAAGCAGTAGTGCTGGTTGATCCACATGTTTAGTCCACTCCCACTGGCACCACGAGATCAAGGGCTAAGGATGCTGTAATCCTCTGTATCTTTGTGGAAGGTGCTGGGACAGGCCTTTGCTTGGCAGCCTGAGGAAACCAGAGAAGGACGCAGACAGGGCGGGCACTCTTGTGTGGCCAGTGAACCAGCAGACACATCTCCACAGCAGGGGATCCTGGTGCTGAAGATCAAGCAGATTGCTTGGTAGAGAAGGTTCCAGATGGGAATGGCACTGACAAAAGTGTGGATACCTAATATAGAGCAGGGCCCTTGCCTAGAATCCTAGAATATTCAGAGAGCCCACAGCAAAGCAGGGTGTTTGGGGGATATAAAGGGTGCAGACCACAAAGATCTCTGCTACCTCAAGGCCAGACTTTCTCCCCAGCTGAAGACCCTGGGAAAAACGGTTCCCTGAAGGAGACCATAGGACACCTCATCCCCTGGGTGTTTTGTTCACCCGTTGCACTGTATCCAACAGAGGAGAATCTGTGGGAAGCCAGTGGACGGGTTGGCATCATTTGGTAGAAAATGTCAGTAAACCACCAGGGCTGTGTGTCCACACATCAAAAGGTTCTGCTACCATAGCAACAGAGCAACAGGGCAACCCTAAAATAAGAGTAGGAAAAGAGGAGCCAGCCAGAAAAGGTTCAGAGAGAATTCTCAGCAAATACCAGGGGAAAACATAGAGACACACTTTGAGTCCTAGACAAGACGCTCTCCTTCCCAGACTCAGTTTCCTCATTTGTGCAGAAAGGCCATCCCAGGGTACCCTAGGGCTCCTCAGCTTGAGAACCCTTGCTTTGGGAGGTCTGCAGTATGTTTAGGCCCCATGTACTGAGCCATGGGTAGCAGCAGTAATAATTACAGGACAGAGGATGGAAGGTGAGATCCATTTCCTCAGCAGTACAGTGGAGTTGGCCAAGTGACATACTTCACAGAGCTGCTGTGAAGAGTAACAGTGACAGCCATCATCGCCACTGTCATCATCTTCATCACCATTGCTATCACTTTCTCATTATTGCCATCAGCACTACAACCATCGTCATCACCATGATCCCCACCATCTGGCTGTGGTCACTTCCACCCCAGGTTATTCCTAGCGATGACATCTATCTGCAGCTCTATATCTTGGTGATGGGCAAGGAATTCTCCCGGGACTCACTGGGCAGTGATGTCCTCTTCTGCTAGCTCCATGATGAATGGTGACCAGATGTCACCTCTTCTCTGGAAAATGTGAATGAACTCAGCTCCTGCCCCCTTGACCCAGGAGCAAAGCCAGTGTCAGTCCCACCTCTGAAGTTCCAGTTGTGCCTGTCTTGTTCCCTGTTTCCTACCAGGATGTACACAGGAAGAGGTGGTAAGATGGAGCGGTCCAGTCCTGAATCTGTTTCCTAAATGGCATTCTCAGTTATGCAACTCTTTATTAGTCTTTGTAAAGTCTATGTCTTCAGATGAATGAAGTTGGGTAATTTTTATTGGCCGAAAATCTTCTTGAATAGAAAGATAAATGTACCCAATGCATACATTTGTGCTAAAAATATATACTAAGTTCCAATAAAAATTTTCCCTAATAATGCAGAGAGAGAGAAAGAGAGAGAGAGAGAGAGAGAGAGAGAGAGAGAGAGAGAGAGATCGATCCTCATTGTCTTCTTAGAATTTCCCACTTAGAATGGGAAGTATACCAAGTAGCACACCCAGCACAGCTTTCTCAGTCCCGCAAAGGCATGAGCAGCTATTCCAGGAGAACGCCAACAAAGCCCTGGCTTATAAGTGACTCAGCCTTTCTCAACCTGGAACATCCTGGGAAGACCGGTGTGAGCCCAGGGCAAGGTTAACAGCAAGGCTTTTAAGCAAGGTTCTGTATCTTAACAACAACTGCATGAAAAGAAATCCATTGCTCATTATGTTGAGCCTCACATAGTAACCAGAAGGAGCTGTCTGCTAACTGCTTAAGAGACTTTCCTTAGTGGAAGGCTACCAATGCAACAAAACTCCTCCTACCAAGGACCAGGTACATGGGGACTTCTACAGTGTATGAGAGTATGCTCTTAAGCAGTTCAGCATCTCTTCTTATTCTGAATACATTAATATCGATACTAAATTATTCCACCATACCTTGTATCTTTCCTTCCTGAAATGATATACAGCTGGACAGAAGCAGTGCAGTTAAGGAGCTGCTGCTGAGCGGGAGTGGCGCAGTCTGGCAGTGCACCACCTGCTTGTCCCTTGGCTGAAGCTGTGTGCACCTGCAGGTCTCGCTCCTGTTCGCTGGCCACTTACCTCCATGCTGTACCTCTCCACCGTCCTTCGCAGCGGGTCCACGGCTTGCCAGCAGATGAGGATGCACAGGTCGATCAGTAGCATGCCCCCCACGATCACAAGCAGCTTCTGGTCTTTGATGATCTATAAGGGGACAGGCAGATGTGAGAAAATGTCTCTATCCTGCAACTGACAGATTGGGGCAGAGTAGAGACTGAATCGCAGGTCCCTAATGCTAGTGTCTGGAGACTCTGCACCACCCACATGTAAACCAAGTCAAGGTCCTCTGTTTGAAGTTCAAGCACTGTCACAAGCTTGGGCCATCTATTTCCTGAGCACACAGGTGCACTCTGTCGAAATCTGGCCGTTGCTCATCTCTAGCCAAGCTATGATTCTTACCCTTCTTCGGGTCTCGGTAGATGCTGGCTATTTGGTCTGGAACACCCAGTTCTTTCTGCCTGGCAAACTTCTAATTATCCTTAAAAATCTAGATCAAATGTCATCTCCCCCCAGGGAGTCCCTTTTGACTTTCCCAGGAGAAATGATTGTTTCCAGAGCACTTTGTTAGTATACTTAATTATTAAAAGCAACAATACTGGTAGCAACAATGAGAACCACAGCTAATGTGCAATGAACAGTTTCTCTGTGCCTGCCCCTACAATGGTGCTTTCACATGCATTATCCCATATAAGGGAGGGTACTATAACTATTCCATTTTGCAGATGAAGAAACTGAGGCTTTTGCAGATGAGGAACTGTGGGCTCTCAGTAAATGACTCAATGAGACAAAGTTACTCAGAGGTGAATCCCAGATTTGAACCAAATTCCTCTTTTCTCTAGAGTTCAGGCTCTCAGATACCTGCAGCACTGGCCAGGTACAGTATTGCACTGCATATATATCTGCCCTCCTCGGAGGATTGGGAAGACTGTATGTTCATTTATGGGTTCACAGGACATAGCAGACTTGGTGTGCAATAAATACTTGAAATTTTGATGCCTGGAGATGAAGGTATATAAAAGGAAGAAACTGAGCTCCCTCCCAGGCCTCTTTGCAGCCTGGAGACCTGTGCAATGCTGTGAGAGTCCTATCCGCTTTCCATGTGTTGATAGGAAGAGGCCTGTGGGCAAAGTGTCAGCCCCAGAGCTCACTTGGATTTGACTCACTGCAGGTTTGTGTTCTGTCACCTCCAACTACTGCACAGACAAAAGTGAGAGTGATGAAGTTGTTCTGGAAAAGAATTATGGAAAAATAAAACCGAAACAGAAGCCCAAGAAATATTGCCCAGTTTGGTGCTTCACGAGTCCTGCCATTTCAAAGGGAGAAACAGAAACTTTGTATCCAGCCTCTCTGTGGTTGGATATGAAGAAAACAAAAAAATAAAATACTGCTGAGTTACTGCCCAAAAGTTCAAATCCACCAAAAGCGCTTTACCTGGGCTCAGGACACTGACAAAGGCCTGTATTTGAATCCTCAAGAAGGATCCAGTGAACCAGTGATGCTTTGTCAAAACCTGGCGTAAGCTGGGGTTTAGCTCAGTGGCATAAGTTCCTGCCTAACAAGTGTGCAGTTGTAAGTTCGATCCTAGTCACCAAAACCAAAACAAGACCCTGGCTTAATGCTTGTCTCCCACTGGGGAACCAGAAAACTCTCCAAGGGCTTCAGAAACAGAGGAAAAAGGCAGAAATGCCCGAGGAGTTTGGGCATTCCAAAGATAGGCTGGAAGAGGCCTCTGAACTTGATGCTGGACCCAGGGCTGTGTGGCCCCCTGGAATTTTTCCATGCTGGGACCATCCCTGAAGGTGCTTCCCACTTTTCTGCTGGTGTGCTCTTATCCTGACTTCATGAATGAGCCCAGCTCCTCCTTCGTGAACCTTGGAATGCCCTGAATGGGACACAGTCAACCTTAGAAGATCATGGCCAGGATTTTTTTCTTCTGTGTGATAAAATGAAGTTTGAAGTTTGAAGTAGCATAGGGCAGAGGAATTCAGAAGGATTTAGAATTATGTGGACCTGGGTTAGAATCCAGGCTTCATGCTTTGCTGCTTGGGTGATCACGGGCAAATCACTTCCTTTCTTCCTTATTCTGAATTTCTCATCTGTATTATGGCTGGGGATTATTTTCTAAGTATGGTATAAAGGAAAAGTCACAGGTTTTGGAGTTGAAAGACTTAATTCTAATCTCATTTCTTGTCAAATGTGATCTTAGTGAGTTGCTCAATTCTGTTGAGCCTCAGGTTCCTCCTTGATAAAGTGGGACCATTAGTCTCGAAGTCACACAGTTGGCATTAGAATAAAATGAGATGCTTTATTGGAAGAACCTAGTATAGATCTGGCATAGAGAAAGTGTTGCATAAATGGTAGCTATTGGACTTTAGTTTTGATTATTAGTGGTTCTGTTTAATGTGTACGACAGGGACACCTAGGGGTGAGTATCATATTTGCACCTCAGCTCTACTAGACATAGTACTATTCAACAGAAAGATCCATCGTGGGGAAGTCCTGAAAGTAACAAGACAGAACATGTCTGATTTTTTTTTGACCCCATTTCCAAAACCCGGCACTTGACTAGCACTTGTTACTGAAAGAATTTCAGCTAAGTAGTTATGAATCACACTTTATTTACTTACTGCAGAAATATTTATTGAGTACCTACATGGAGTCAGATTCTGTTCTAGACCTGTGGGTGCAGATGCAGACAAAGCACAGTCACTGTCTATGGAGCATGAATTGCAGTGTGGGGAAGACTAATAATGAACAATTAAACAAATATATCCATACATACGCAAAATACAGCATCATAGAGAGGTGACTTAAAACAAATTTAAAGCGTAACAGTGAGGAAGGGAGAGGAAAATCAACATGGTCCCGTGCCCTAGATCTGGCATCAGGCAGGGCCATGCCTCCAGTCACACTGATGTCATCACATTCAGGCCTGTCCTGAGCTGGGCAGCTCTCAGTGTTGTACTCTGTGCCCCTAGAAATGGGAGCAAAAGCTCTCAAAATGGTCAAGCACTTGGTTCTGGAGTCAGATCTGAGTTTTATGTGAACTAATGAATTGTGTGATTTTGGGTAAAATCCGACTCCACTGAGCCAGTTCCTTATCTATAAATTGGGGAACTACCCTATAAGCCACCTTCGGTGACCAGAGTTTGGGTTACAACTGTTCAGAAGAAGTTGGCTAAATGATAGAAATGACATTTCTAAATATCACCTCCCATTGTGGTTGAAAGCAGAGATTAACAAACTACAGATTTTACTCATGGCCTGTTTTGTAAATGAAGATCTATGGAAATAAAGCCACACCCACTCATTTGCATATCTGTCCATGGGTATTGTCATTCTATAAAGCAGAGCTGAGTAGCTACCAAAAAGACAGTAGATTCTGAAAAACCTCATGTAGTTACCTGCCTCTTTCTGGAAGAAACCTAACTGACCTCTTGTTTAGAGAAAAGCACATTTCTTTAGCTCTTTAAAACTTCAGGTGTTGACTAGTCCACACTGGCCTTCTTGCAGGGGCAGCTCACGCGCCCTCAGTGTGGATGGTGTCCCTGGGTGTATTACACATTGCCTTGCCCTCCTGCTGTTACTCAAGCTGCAGATGCTTCAAAGTAGCAGGAGAAGCCTTCCCCTTGCCCTCCACCTAGGCTCAGCCCAGATGATGTTCTGTGTCTCTGTCTGCATCAGTACCAAGTCCTATTTGACCTCGGGAACATCTGCCCCACAACAGAAGGTCTCATCATCCAGTTACTACTTCATCTCAACACTTCAATTTGGTCCTAGTGAGAGGCAGAATAAAGGCAATAATAAACTTTTCATTTAGGATTTTATGATTGGTCTTTAGAAACAATAGGAATGTACCACAAAAATGTAGAATTTGGGGAACATTAACTCGTCATGAGTCAATATTTTCTTTTTTTTTTTGTCTTTTTCATTTTTATTGGTACCGGGGATCAAACTCACGACCACCTGCTTGCAAGGCAGGTGCTTATGCCACTGAGCTAAATCCCAAGCCCCCCAATATTTTCTTTAATAGGCTTCTTTCCCTCGGATGTTTTTAGAAATGTAGCCATATGGGGTGACGCTTCTGTCTATGTGTTCGGGAAGGACCTGACATTGTGGATGGGAAGTGAAGTGGGCAGAGACTATGGAAAAAGGGAAAGGGTAAGAAGAATGTAATATAAAGGTATAGGATTGCATTTATAAATTTATACAAAGCTAATGAGTATATCAGTAAAAAATTAAAGGGCCCACTAAAAATTGTTCAAATTCTTTTAAAAGAAATCTGATGACAAGTCAGTCACACAAGGAGAGATACCGTGCAATTCAGTTTATGTGAGGTTCCCAGAGGAATCAATTCATGGACAGAAAGTAGAAAGCATAGAGAGCGTAGCCAGACTGGGGAGCAGGCGTGGGGAGTGAGCAGTTTTCAGGTGTTCCAGGGGCAGGCTAGAGGAAGGCAGGGCGGCGCAGGGAAATTTCAACTTTAAACATGTAGTCAGGGACCACATTATTTCGTAAAGGCTAAGGCAGCTGCAGTCCAAAATGTGGCTGCATCCATGGATTCTAGCTTTTTACATAACCAAACTTGTCTTTCGTTATTATTTTATTTTATTGGCTTGTGAAATTGTAGTAAAGTACGTGTAACATACAACTGGCCATTTTACCTACTTTGGAACGGTCAGTTCAGTGGCGTTTACTGAACTGAGGCGAAGTGACCTTGTGTGATCGGAGCCGCCTGGTGTCAGCGCGGGCCAGGGGAGGCTGCTAGGTCTCTCCAGGAAGCTTGGTGCTCTCACACACTTCCTGTCTCTGAGGTCACTCTCACCATCCTCGACGTCATTTTCCTCACTGGTTCTGCTGCCCTGCTCACCGTCACAGATGGCCTCTGGATCCCTGTGACATAATTACTGTCCTCCAGTGTCCCTACCCTTCACCTTCAGTCTGACTTCACACTCCTCAGGGGCCCTACATTTCATTTTCCACCATAGCTTGACATTAGCAGGCAAAAGAAGCAAAGCAAGAGGCTTTAAACAGACAATAGAGGGGAGGGGAGAAAAGCAGAAAAAGAGGAGAAAACAGTAAAAGTAATAAAAATGGTTTAAAGGCTTGCAAGTTAAAACAAAGAGAAAAAGTGTGTGTGCGTGTTCTTGTTTGTCAGAAAAGCCACTCCCCCAGCCCCAACCACAAGTTAGTGCAGCCCTTCAAGGGCAGAAGCCTGCTCCCGGGGCTCAGGCAGTACAGCAGGAAAGCAGAGGAACCCGGTCCTTGGCCACCGTGTCCCATCTCTGCTCACCCAGAGCTGCAGACACTGAAGCCGGAGACTTCTGAAGTTCTCCTGACGTGTTGCCAAACAGTGGAGCATTCTTGCTCGGTTATCACATGAGTAATGGAACATAAAGGCCAGCTCTATTACAGGTGACAACTTGGATGACATATTAACAAAAGGAGTCAACACTGCGATTCTTCCCAATCAGGATGGAGCTGTCTCAAGTGGCAGAGCATGTGTCTACCCAGAGCTGCCCAGCAGGAGTGCCCCTGCCTCTCACGCCCTCAGTGTTGCCCAGAGGGATGCTGAGAACACGGGATCCTGGGCTTCACCCCCAGAGTCTGGTGATTAGGGGTTGGGGTGGACCCCAACTCTGCATTTCTCACCTGCCCCTGCCAGCCCACATCTGGGCAGCCCTGCTCTAGGCAGAAGGTCTTTAATCCATAATCTGCTTATGTACAAAGGCCCCTTTCTAGACCCCGGCTGCACCTTCTGCTCAACCAGCCAAAGATGGTTTTCTATGTAGTTAGGCCCACAATGGTCGCCATCTATCCTAATCATGTCCAGACTGTTCTTCTTGTAATTACTCCCTAACCAGTACAACAATAGGGTAGTATAACAACTATTTACATAGCATTTACATTGCATTAGGTGTTGTCAATAACTTAAATTTAAAGTATACAAGAGGACATACATGAGTTCTGTGTCAAAGCTACACCATTTTACATACAGGACTCAAACAGCAGGCCATTTCGGTAGGGAGGGAGATCAGAGACCAGTCTCTGGAGATGGCCAGGGTCAGCTATATCAACTTGGAAAGTCTAAAATCTATTGACGACCAGCTACAGCTACATCACTGCAGGAACTGGGGTTTGACTGGCCTGGGCTGGGCTCCTTCCTAGAGCTTTCCGATGTTCTCATGGGACTGTGACAGATAGCTGAGGTGGAGAACACCTGGGCGGTCAGGTTGTTCTACCTCCTGCGAGTGCTGCTGGTCCTGAGAGCAGCAAGGAGCACAGGGAATGGGTGCCTGGTCTAGGTTTTTCCCTCTTTAAACACAGTCTACAGTCTTCCTGAGCTGGCCTGGGTATGGGGTGGGGGAGGGGAGCTGGTCAGAGACGGCAGGGTGTACCCCATTTCATCTGGAGAAGTCAAGGGGCTACAGCAGACCTGGCAGTAGGAAGGCAGTGGGCCTTAGAGCTGAGAGGTGCCCTTCGCAGGAGGCAGGAGGCACAGAATCACAGCGCAAGAGGCAGCTCTATTATTACATCTCCATTCTACAGATAAGGGAACTGAGGCCAAAAAGATGAGGTGATGTTTCTGTGGCAGGTCATGTGGCAGGTCAGTGGCAGAGCAGGCCTGTTTTGTCTGCTGGCCCCACTGCCAGGGCAGGCTTGCTGTCTGTCAGGGATCTCAGGGAACAGATGGCAGAATGGGAGTTCCCAAGAATGGGTTTCTTCCTCTTGGGCCACCATGAGATCTTCTCCCCACCATCCTATTCTCCATGACGTCTGAACTCCCTAGAGTTGGACCTCTAAGTGGTGGCAGGGATGGAACCAACCTTACTTGCCAGCTAATGTCAGGTTTGCTGGTAAGGACAGGAATTCAATGGACCTTTTAGACTTCCATGCATGCTTTGTGGGTCTCCCATTACTGGGACTTTCTCTCTTGTACTTGAATAGTGGGTGAATAGTGTCCCACTAGACCACCTGTTTTGCATCCCTCACTCGTGAACGTACTGAGGTTCCCTATCCCAAGGTCACCTGGCCCTTCAGCTAGGCTCGGACAGGTCATAGAGTGCTCCCTGGCTTGCAATCCACAGCTGATACCCAGGAACTCCCAGGTACCCTTGACTCCCACAGACTCAAGGACAGCAGGCTGATGGCACTGCAGTGGGGTTCCGCTCTTCTTCTGTCCTCTGAGCACCTGAGGTTAGGGGGATGCTACAGGGCTGAGCCAGTGCCCAGAGTGACATTTTGGATATTAGGGGGGACTCACAGACCACTGGACCTTCCAGGTCATGAGGCTTTCTCTAAAATGTATTGAGGAGCAAGGAAAGAACAAGAGTACTGCCAGAGTTTAAGCAACAAGGTTATGTGTGTCTACATCTTAACAGTCACGCTCAGCCAATGTCATGGCCACACTCATCTACAAAGGTGGCAGATATTTTCCAGTTGTACAAAGGCTGAGCTCCTCTCCTCTAAGGGCCTCTGAAAATAGAATCTTTAGCTTAGATTCCTCAGTTATTTCACTCTCCCCTTTAAAAGAGTTCCCACTGCCCATAAGTTCAATTTCAGATTCTTTATGTTTTAGTACCGGGGATTAAGCTCATAACCTGCTGCTTGCCAGGCAGGCACTTATGCTGCTGAGCTAAATCCCCAGCCCCAAACTTCAGATTCTTTAATGTGGCTTATAGCTTCCCCTCCACCATGTTCTTGTACCCTGTGAAACCCAGGCCCCTAGCCATACTAAGCTGATGCACATGAAGTTTGCAGAATCCCCATCTTCTTTGTCTGACCAACTCCCACACACCCTCCAGTTCCATAACAGGTGACACATCTAACATGAAGCCTTCCCTGGGTGCCTTGTGCCCCCCAAACCCTCTGTCAGCCCTTTCTTTGAATGTTGCAAACTCTCTGTCTGATTTCTCCATGAGGTTGAGACATCAGGAGGTAGAAATTGTGTTTCACCTGGATCTCCAGCAAGTACTTCAATGCATGCACACAGTAGGTGCCTAATGTTTATGTGCTAAGCAACCATGGTGTGAAGGGTGCAAGTACCCTGAAATGGAGGGAGAATAATTACCTTCTTCTTCATTTTCACATTTTTAAAGATGGCATGGACTCTCCATGTCTTTGCAAACATAGCGCCAAAGGCAGTTGTGTAGCCCACGGTGAGAATCCAGGTCCTGACCTAGAAGCCAAAAGAAAACAGAGGCATTATTATTCCTTAGGCAGGTGAACCTTGTCAGATGAGACAGCAGGAATCCAGGTGACGCGGACAGATGCTCCACTCCACATGCTGTAGGGTCCCATTAGCATCCTTCAATCAAACTTCAGTTTGATAGACATTTGGTTCTTCCAATCACTTGTCGAGCCCAGGGAGAGAGCCAGTCACACTCAGCACTGTTGAGGAGTCACTAGGAAGCTGAGGGACCAGTCCTCTGGACTGTCCTGCCTCCCACTCTTTCGCTCCTCTTCCTGCTGCCTGGCCCTCTTCCCCCATAATCAGGTCACTTGGCTACTACTGCCCAGTATGATTTTTGGAGATCAGATACTCAGACCAAGACCAGGGTGCCAAGTGCACACCTGGCCCTGGGGTGCCTGCTCAGGACTAAGGCCTGTCTGTCTCTTATTTGTCATCTTACAGCAAATCATCAAAAAGTTCACTCATCATAACCAAGTCAGGACTAGGGATGCAAGGATGGTTTGACATACATAAATCAAGTAGAGAAATAAGGACAAAAATCATATGGTCATCCCAATAGATGCAGAAAAAAAAAGCCTTTGCTAAAATCTAACACCCATCTATGATAAAAATCTTGAAAAAATAGGTATATGTGAACCTCACATCAATCTGATAAAAGCCAATTATGACAGATTTACTGCCAACATCATCTTAAATGGGGAGAAGCTGAAAAATTACCTTCTAAAATCAGAAATAAAACAAAAAGGATGTTTGCTATTACATTCCTGTTCAAATAGTTCTCTAAGCATCAGCCAGAGCAACTAAGCAAGAGATGGAAAGTGTAGGAAAATAAGACGTTAAATTGCTATTATTTGCAGATGGCATAGTCCTTTACCTAGAAGACCCAAAAAAATTCCACAGGAAGACTCCTAGAATTAATAAGCAAATTCAGTAGTAAACCAAGGTACAAAAACCAAAAAAAAAAAAAAAAATTGATAGCATTTCTTTACAGCAAGAATAAATACACTAAGAAAGAAATTAGGAAAGCAGTATACTTCATAATGGCATCAAGAAAAGTAAATACTTAAGAATTTACTTAACCAAGGAAGCAAATGACCTCTACAATATTCTGAAAAAGGAGATTGGATGACATCAGAAAATGGAAAGACATCCCTTGTTCCTGGATAGGTAAAGCCAATATATTGTCAAAATCACCTTATTTCCAAAACTGTTAAGTGGATTTAATGCAATCTTAATCAAAATACTAAGGGAATTCTTCATAGATCTAGAGAAAACAATCCCAAAATTCATATGGAGTGAAAAAATCCAGAAAAGCAAAAATAATTCTGGGCAACAAGAGCACAGTAAGAGGCACCACAATCTCAGACTTCAAGCTATATTATAGAGCCAGAGTTATAAAAAAAGTATGGTATTGGCACAAAAACAGACATGCAGCTCAAAGGATCAGAATAGAGGATGCAGAAACAAGCCCAGGTGCATTCAACTATCTGATCTTTGGAAAAGGGGCCAAAAACAACACTGGAAGAAAGATAGCCTCTTTAGCAAATGGTGCTGGGAAAACAGGCTATACTCATGCAGAAAATTGATTCTAGATCCACATCCCCCACTGTGTACTAAATTAAAATCAAGACTGATCAAAGATCTAAATGTTAAAACGGAAACATGTAACCTGCTGGAGAACAAGTTAGGTAAAACACTTGAAGACATAGTCATAGGCACAGATTTTCTGAACAAAAGTCCAGTTGCATAAGAAATAACAAGAATCAATAAATGAGATCACATCAAATTAAAAAGCTAGGAAACAACAGAGCAAAGAGCTAACCTACCGAACGGGAAAATTTTTTGTGAGTTACTCCTTGGACAGAGTCTAATATCTAGAATATATGAAGAACTCAAAAAAATTAGATCCCCAAAATAAAGACCCAGTTAAAAAATGAGCAACAGAAAGGAATAGAAACCTCTCAGAAATGCAAATGGCCAATAAATACACAAAAAAAATGTTCAACATCTTGGGCCATCACAGAAATGCAAATTAAACCAACATTGAGATTCCATCTTACTCCAGAAATAATGGCTATCATCAATAAATCAAATAATAACAAATACTGGTGAGGCTGGGAGCGAGGCTGGAGTCAGGTGAGGGACCGGAATGTCAGCTAGAACAGCAACACGGAAATCGTGTGGAGATTCCTCATAAAAGGAAAACCACAAGTTCCATTTAACTCAGCTTTTCCTCTTCTAGATTCCTTTCCCAGAGAGTTAAATACATCGTATAACAGTGACACACACTCATGTTCATAGCAGCACAACTCATAAGAGCTAAAGCCTGGCAGAAGCCGATATGTCTATCAACAGAGGTATGGATAAAGAAAATGCGGTATCTATACACAGTGGAGTAGTACTCTGCCATAAAGAATGATAAACTTGAGTAATTTGTAGGAAAATGAATGCATCTTGAGTCTACAATGTTAACTGAAATAACTCAGACAGACACAGTTTCTCCTATGTGAGAAACCTGAAATATAACTATAAGGAGTAAAAGAAAAGATATATAGTAAAAAGCAGGGTGATATCTTTTGCAGGTGGAAAGAGGACCATGAGATGGAGGGGGAGAGAGGAAGAGGATAGAAAAAGAAGTAAGATGTGTTATGTCCATGACCAACTCTCCGCAGTGAATTTAATCATTACATATGGCAAACACGAGCTAATAAAAATAATACAAACAGAAAGTGGGAGTGAGCTGGGCATGTGGCGCCCAGGGAAGGACAACAGTGTCCTGTGATTGCACAGAGCTGTGAGTGCTGATGAGGTCCGCTGCGGACCCAGCCTTCTATTTCTTCCCCACTTCTCATTTATCTTTTCAGAAGCAAAGCGGGAAGTCAGATGGGCACAAATAAAGCACTGTACTTCCAAGAGGGTGTAGATTATAATCCAAGAGTGCGGGAAAGGAGTCAAAACAGAGGAGAAGGTGCCAGGTGCTGGGAAGTCAGACTTGAGCTTATCCCATGAGCAGGTCGCACTCTGTCACCTGTCAGAGTTCCACATCACTGCCCACTGCTTTGGCCGTTCCTCTTTCCACGGAGCAAGTACCAGGTCAGAGTAAAAAGCATAGCAAGTAAAAATAAACAAAAACAATGATGGGGCTGACCTGTTGGCATTGTCAGTTGAGAGAGGAAATCACCTTGAAAATGAAGACACTGAGACCCGGAGCATTTAATGTACTCTCTCAACCCCCTGCATGTGGCCCTAGAGCTGACCCTGGAACTCAGTCACTTCCCCACAATAGGCTGCCTCCTCCCAGCCTGCTTCACCCCAGCACACCCAGCAGCCAGCCTCCGAAGTGCAGGAATGTGGGGAGGAGCTGGGGCGGAGCTGACATCTCCTGATCTCAACTCTGGCTTGCAAAGCTGCCATACAGACTCAAGCACTCAATGGATTTTTAATCACATTGTATAAATAAAGTCATTTTCAAGCATGTTTTATATAGAACATAGACATTTTATAAAGGGTGGAAAAGATACGCAATGTCATTACTTTTAAGTTATCAGATGGCTGTCAAAAATCTCATTTCAAGGACATACATGCCACTCCTATGAGGTTGCATTATGAGTATTTCCTTTGATCTATGTTATTTTTAAAGCAATCATTTTTAGGCCACTTGTGAGGACTAACTTCATTAAGATTCAATCACATAAATTAGGTGAGTTAAAACTTGGTAATATCCATTTAATCAGGCATCTGGAAATTATGGTATGTTTCATCAGCTGCAAGCAAAGCGTGGCTGAGGACACCCAGGCAGGCCGCTGGCTGGTGTCTGGGGACCTGAATTTTGGGCTGGTGTCCACCATGCCCTCTGTGGCTGGCTCACTGGGCCTAAATTCTCTGCACCAAACACCTGCGCTCCTCTGGGTGTCTGGGATTTTGGTAAACAGTAGGCAGAAGGTGCTTAAAAAGTGCCCCGCCCCTAACAGACACCCTGGGCTCAGGGTCTCTTGTGGGCTCCCTGGGAGACAGCATTTCCCATGCGCTGTCTCTGCTCATTCCCATGCGGTCCCTGAGAGAGAGACTCTGGCCAGCTTCCTCCTGGCCTCTGTGGATCCCATAAACTTATTCTTTCTGCTGATTCTGCTCCATGTCCTTTCACTATAATAAATCCTAAGTGAGAGCAGCTGGATGCAGAGGACTGGGTGTCCCAGGAGCCACAGAACCTGGGGCTGTCCTGGGGATGCTGAAGCATGCCCTGCCACTGCCTGGTGTACTGAACTGACCAACCTCCATGCCTTCAGAGGGTTTCTGCATGCAGCCACGGACACTCCCAGCAAGCCAGGGCCCAGTGTTAGCTCTGGTCTCTCACCACCCCAGGCTGTGGTGGTTCCTTTCATTCAAGTAAAATACACTGTCCAGCAGGTAGTGAGCTCCCTGTCACTCCATGTATTCAATCAAAGCTTGGAGAAACCACCTGTCAGGATGCTACAGGGACAGTTCCTACCTGAGGGTAGTTTCATATGATGATGTCCCAGGTGTCTCCCTTCACTGTGTCTCTGCAAGGCCAAATATACTAGAATGTTCTAAGAAGCTATGGTGATTCTGTTTGCCACTATGTTATCTCCAATTCAAATGCTACTGATTCATCAGCACGAAACAGCTACTTTACTCTTTCTCTCAAATCTTGGACACATTTACTCTTTTGATGTTAATGTCTCTCCTTTCATCTCCTCAGCCATAAAGTACTCTGTGCCCCCTGAAATTTGCTTTAAACATATATTTCTACAAGGGAGGGGATCTTCAGGGAGACCCCAGCCTCAGCTATCCCAGCCTCCTCATACAGCCAGGAAGAGGGAAAAGAAATCACAAACGGAGAGAAAACCTGTCTGGAGGAATTCCGCTCAGTACTCACACAGTTGATTATAGGAGTCACAGAAGGGCTTTCTGTGCTCTTTTGGGCACTGGTGGGAAAATAGGCCTGGGCTCCACTCGTAGGTGTG